CTTTTTAAACTCTGAAGACGGTGATTGTCAATGCTACTTTAAAGAAAAGGTAAATGTTGCTTTTACACGGACTTTTCGGAACAGTTATCTGACAGTAGGAATAGAAAACGTGAGTAAACATAACTAAATGCAGCTGGCCTTTGAATCTTCCAGTGTTATTGTTTGTCTGCCTTGTCTGATAGGATCGGTAGATTTAGCGAGAATTTTTCGACAAACTGAATGGCGTTCCCGGGAGCAACATTGGAACCAAAGTGCACGATCAAAATTCCCACCTGAGTTTGCCGGATAATGACAACTTCTGTTGGTATTTGTCGCGTTGTCGAGAGGGAAATGGAGGCGAGGCTAAAAGAGGGATGTCAGATATTCAAACATGTATATATTTCAGAGACGCTAGTGAAAAACAAATCAACATTTCGTGCGTCTGCACACGCGGAAAGCTGTGTCATAAGCTTCATGGACTGTACACAGAAAAGACCGGAAAACGGGTCAGTTTATGCTCGGCTCTGCGGCCCAATCACCGGTTGGACATAAGAATAAGAAACTTGGCCATAATAATAATGGTCTAAAGTTAAATTTCTGAGGAAGTACCTATTGTCGTTTCCCAGCTACCACCCCCAATCTGGACCTGAATATTAAGTCAACCCCCCACCATTGAATTTTAACGCAAAGTCTCATGCAATCCAGGCATGCCTATTCGCATGCCATACCTGAAAGTGATTAATATTAACCCCAAGTTTCCAATGCAATTTATAGACGACAGCATTCAATACACAGAGTTGATCACAGCTCCTCGTTACTGAGGGAACTGCAAAGACGGTGGAAGGCAGAATGATTTTAAATGTCCTCAAATTAATCTACCGTTCGCCACAAATTATAATCAAAAAAGGTAGAACTGCCTTTAGGGGTCCTGTTTGCCTTTCACTTATGATAATAAACTACTTTTACACTTTAAGTAGCCCGACTTTCTGTTTTTTTGTTAAATTCCGTCAATATAAAGTCAAATTTCCATCAATGGGCATCAATTTCCTGAGCAACAGGAGTCTATGTTGATGAATTTAATTGTATTTCGATCAGTAAGATAATTATACGCGGCTTTAATTTTATATACTTTGATCACTTTCAACGCAGTTAAATAATCGTCGACACCCGTAAACCAATTCCCTAAGACAGTTGGTCGGGGGGAATATATATTTAGGCGGCCCAACAAGACAGTTTTGCCAAAAAAAATCGGCTTTGAGTTTTCAGCTAAAAACCAAATGAGTGGATTCTTGTGCATTTTACCAAGCACATTAAATTGGATACGAAACCGTTAACTCTTTTAACCAGTGCAGTTGGGACATCATGAATGATCTATAAGTCATTACAGAGTTGTAGGGTTTTCGAGTAGATGTACGGAAAACGACCTTTATGGTTACCCACGAAAATCAAGTGTACTAGTCAATTCATGCTTTTTGGGGACAGAATTTGAAGTCATCGCTGTAGGCACCGTTAAACGGGGACTCAAGGTTCTGAGAAGGAGAAGATAATAACTGAACACAATCTACGTCCACACTCTCACAAAATTAACTACAGTGCACAAGAATCAATAGCTATATAACGAAATGCCCAAGAATTCGTCCGCAAAATGGTGGCAAGCGGTGAAAATAAGTACTGCCCTCCATCTACAAGGTTGCCGAAACTGATAAAAGCTCCTCACCTGCCGTCATAACTATAGAAGAGTGGCTTAAACACTTTTATTGAAGGCCTTCCAGTCTTGCCCTCCCCTCCTGTTATTAGTTGACTGTTAGGTTCAGACAAATTCTTCCCTTCAGCCACCGGAGACAAGGGAAGCCGAAGTCGCACGTCTCGCAATATATGCAGACGGTAGGCCTCAGAGGTGTCTTCGAAAAGTGATTGAAGGTCCTCCAAGGAGGAGAAGGAGGAACTTTTTTTGGTTTCATCGAAATCCAGACTGGCGAGAGTGCCCAGGCGAAAAATGCAGCAGTCGCTGTGCGGCAGGAAGAGAGCAGCACCCATCGCCATTCCGGTTGGAGCGAGCAGTGCCCCTTACGTAAGATAAAAGAAAAACACTCTTGATCGTGAGGAATAAAGCGAAACCGCCATTATTCAAAGCTTCAAACTCCCACTCTATCTGCAGGAAAATTCAATGATAACGAGAACGCTTAAACCGATTCGTAATAGTAGTTTTCGGGAACAACAGTGCCTATTCTAAATAATTATACAGGGAGCAGATTATAAGTGTTATGTATTCAAACAGAAGGCAGTTTGTAAGCAGAATGTTGTATAGGCAAAATAGAAGGGTGTCCGTAAGCAGGAGGTGTGCTGAAGGAAACGGAAACAGTTTTGTGTCTGAGTCATGTTAACCAAGGGGCTTTATGGTGAGGCTTAAACGTCATTGGCTGAAAGGTAGCCAGTCAGAATAAAGAAAGCGGTAACGCGCGTCAACGATCATAAACACCTTGCGCGAACTGCAGCAGGATGTCCCGACATCACGTGCGGGCATACACAACAATAAGGAAGGTCTGAAATGACTAATATCAACTCGGCGAAGATGAAATGATAGGGCAGGCAAGTCTGTATTATAACAGAAGAAATAAATGTCATTGAGGATATGCAGAATACCGGCGAAACACGTGTCTGGGCCTTTTAGGAAGTACCTAGGCTG